ATTTAATCATCATTATGTAATTTTCATTGAGAGATTGTTTTCAATGAATATTTTATTTCATCATTTATTATTTTAACTCTTCTCTTATTACTCTTCTTTTCTCTTTCTTCTATACTTCTTCTATTATATCTATATATTATATATATTATTTCATATATCAATTTCAATAATTTAATTGTATCATCATCACTAGGATATTCCATATTTCATTCTTTTTAATTTAATCTTCTTCTCATTTCTTATCATTAATTTTTAAATACTCTTTTCTTTCTTATTTTTAATATTATTCTTATTATTATTAATTAAATATTTTATTTGTTTAATTTCTTATTTTATTATTAATATATTCATCTTTATATTATTTATTTCCATTATTCATTTAATTCTGATAAAGTTCTTGTTAATTAATAATTTGTATAATTGAACTTCTTTTTAGATAATTAATTTCATCATTTCAATATCATATATTTATTTTATTGATAATTAGAAATATAATATTTTAGTTTATATATTTCTTTTTGATATCTTCTATATTTTCACTTTCACACTTCCATTTTTTATTTATATATTTAATTATTTTATTACATATTTTTTATTGAAATAATAATTAATATATGTTATTATATATATTTCTTTTTTATTTTCTTTTATTATGTCTTTTTATTATCTATTTTATCATTCATATTGTTTATCATTATTTATTTTAATTTATTGAATATATTTATAATTATTTATTATATTTATTGTTATTTATATTATCTTTTTCTTATTTCTTTTATTATTTCATCTTTTAATCATCTCTCTATATTCTTCTTTATTTATCTTATTCCTCTTTCTTCTATTACTTTTTAATTCTTTAATTTCTAATTTATATTTTAATATATTATATTTAATCATATCAATATTAACTTTTTATCTTCTTTATTCTATTTTTGATGTTTTATTTTTCTTTATTATTTCTTCTATATTAAATCTTATTTTGTTATCTCTAATTCTTCTAATTTCATTCTTAGTAATTCTTCTCTCATAAATTTGATTACACATTTTATATTTGTTTCACTTTCTTCTTGGATTCTTTTTTGATAGATTCCATCTCTTTCTTTTCTTCAATAATTACTCCACTTGACCCATCCCTTTTCTTTAGTGCTTCTATTTTTATCAGAGGTATTGTTTTCTTCTTCAATTTGATAAAAATTTACTTGTTGTATGTGTTCTTCATAAGATGTTTTCTATTTCTTTTTCTTCTGATATCTCTATCTTTGATTTTTCTTTTATTGTTTCCATCTTATCATTCTCTTCTATCTGTTTCTCAATTTATCTTCTAATTCCTTGCTTTTTCTTTTTTCTATTTCTTTGTCTTTCTTTTTAATTTCTTTTTGTTCTTTAATCTTTGTTATTTCTTTTTCTTATTGTTTGATCTTATCTTTTGTTTTATTGTTTTCTTCTTCTTGTTTATTTCTTTTACTTCTTTCTTTAATCTATTAGTTTCTTCTTCCTTTTCTTTTATTTCTCTAAATTTTCTTTCAATGTTCGTCTTTGTTCTTCTTTCTGACAGACTACAATCTAATGTTTACTATTCATTCTTTATATTTCTTTATCTTCTTTTCTTCTCTCTTTTCATTATTTCTTCTTTCTTTTGTTTTTGTATTTCTCTATTTCTTCTATTCTTCCTTCAATTTCTTTTATTTCTCTTTTATATTCTATTTGATTTTATTCTTTCCCTTTTTCATATCTTTTTATT